GAAGGGTTAGGGAATTTAGGGTTGAAACCCAGCCCAAACCACAATTCCTGGGGCCACCTAGGGAAAAGGAGTTAGGGAATTTAGAGAAGCCTTGGGGCTCTCTAGGAAAAAGGCGGGCCTAGGAAATCTGAGGAAGCCCTGACCTGAAGGAAGCCCTAAACCCCCTACACCCCACAGAGCCTCCTGGAAAGTCTCAATGGCCTGCTCCTTTCCGGAGCCCCCCTTCGTCTCGACCTTGCATTCGCTTTCAGGATCCGGGGCTCATTACGGGAAGCGCTTTTGGGGTTGAGGGGTGTGGGCTTTGGGGTTTAGGCAGGGTTTAAGGTGTTATGTGGGACTAGCAAGAAAGAACACCTGCATCACATCATTCATAAGGGGGCCCGAGCTAATCACTACCCTTGGTATAAGGTCCAGGAAAATTCAGAAACCAACCGCATCTTGAAACGAGAATCTACACCTACCACATTCCCATGGAGCCCTCTTGTATATACACTCACCTAAACCACCAAAACGATACTATAAACTTATATTTTCCATTTTATTTGGGAGAGGGGATTTGGGGCATTGTTTGCAGTCGAGGCGTGCAGAAACGGCAATGTCAATTTGCAGCAACTGCATGGCCACAGCATTACCATGCATCTCCAGGTGCCGGTTGCCTGTGTCAAAAACATGTACTTGGGTGTCTGCGGAATATCAGTCAAATAGCCTAAGGAAGCTGCCTTCGTCTACGCTGAGAGAAGCAAAGAGGGAGCGCTGGAAGGAAGTAGTTCAGGCACCACCTTGGACACAGCGGAACCGCGCTATTCGCGGTTCTGCATTAAACAGCTCTGTGGATCTGATTTCAAACAATCTTGGCAAGAGGTCCATTTCACCTCTCAGAACAGAATCTCGTGCTCGTCGACCGGCGGACAGCGCCATCCGCTGTCGATGTTCTCGTGCAGGTGGCCGGTGCCCCAGCAGCAGCGTTCCAAGTTTCCTCAGCCACATCTGAGCTATCTTTTGCATGTCCATGGGTTACCCACATCATTGAAACATATCGAAACAGCTCGAGTTGAACATCCACGGGTAATTAGGGCTTTTGCAGTTCCGCAAGCACTGCAACAAACGAAATTCTTGCAGCAATGTGTCCAATTCCCCACAAGAAGGATTGCAGACCGTTCCAGTGGCGCTGTCTCTCATAGCTGTCTTGATGTGCAGGAGGCGCTTTTAACCTCGCCAGGTCGGAAGATGGTGCACATGCGACATGTTGCAGCCCAGTCTTGATCTTTCGCTCTTATTTTGGTGCTCAGATGATCAGATGATAGTGCCTGCAATGTAGTATACTAGTTACTTGTATACTAGACTGCAGCCTCGCCAGACACAAGGTTTCTATTGCCACCAAAAACATGTTGTCGCCGGTTTCACCCGCCATGATAATCACCGGACGGCAAATGACCCAGCAGAGTGGTTCCAAGTACGCATACCGGGGCTTGGGGTCCAAGCATCCACTGCCTCGATACTGGTCTCGCTCAGAGGGGCAGCATGTCCCGCAACAGCAGGAAAATGTTGTGTTCTGCTTCCTCGACTTGTATATTGTCTTGCCCGCTAGAGTCATTCTCCCCCTCTCCGATGGCAGAGTCATTGGTTGCCGACTTAGCACCAGTTGCTCTGCGGACCGATGACTCTCACACGCACGCCTGACATCAATCTTGGAGCAGTAATTGAGGAGCAATTGGAAAACTGTTGTCTTCGAGAAGGACTTGCAACTGGCTCGAAGCATCAGCGCATCCTTCAACGACAAGAAAGGGGGGATCTTGGCTTGCAGCATCATGGACGTGTTCAGGGATGGCGGCAGTGGCGTTGGAACAGCTTGATGAGCTTCCTGCCCCTCGCCGGGGCCAAGAGCAGCTTCGAATGAATTCGGAATCCTAAACCGTGCCGCCTGGGCTCGCTCTGGGGGCTGGCACAGCCAGGCGCAGGCCCACGCCAGAACGTCCATGGCGACCGCAGTGGCTGCTCGCCCAGCTGTTGGCCTTGCACGCCTGCTGCAGCCTGTGTGTTACGACTCTTACGACTTATGACCAAGCCGTCGATTCGAGCCGTAAGGCCTCAAGCGGGAAGCAATGCTTCCTCGAGTTGCAGTGGCTTCTTGGCTAGAGGGGTTGTTGAGTCTTCAAACATTCAGGGGTTGAAGCCTTAGTTTAATCGCTGAAAGGAATTCAAGGTTCCACATGCAACATACATGCGGGGCCAATGTATTCTGGACCTTTGGAGATTGGACTTGCGGCTGTGAAAAAAGGGCCTGGGCATTGGAGGAACGATCGGCTGATTGGGTGGCTTGTCGTACTATGAATTACGATCATCCAAACCACGCAAAAGTTCCCTATTGTGGTTGTCCCGAATTTCATCACGAGGCCACATGACACACCTTTCGTAAAGCCTCAGCAGGGAGGCAGAAACCTGAAGAGCTGATCCCCAAACAGCCCCTGCAAAGCCCCGGGCATCGATGCTGTCGTACTTCTGGAAGTCGATGCCGGCAGAGACGTGCGCGGCTTTGAAGAGCCTTTTTGCGGTTTCGGTTGTAGGGCTCAGGCCCCAGGCTTCGCCGGCCCAGGGATGTTGGGGCCTTGGGGGTCACGAACTTAGGGCTCCCAGCGCGCCGTCACTGGGCTTCTGCTTTCAGTGCTGGGTGGGGGCTTGGAGTCCAGAGCTCTAGAAGTCTAGAATGGCTTCAGAGAGGCAGCTCGGAGCTTTCGCCTGGCTTAAGATCAGCAGGACAACTTCAAGCATTCAAGTAAATTCAAGTCAGAATGGAATCGACGTCTCTCCAAGCCCGCCCAACATTTCAAGCCTGATTGAGGGCGGGAGGATGGGCTGGAACCGGGCGCGCCATTTTGTTTTGTTTTTACTAATTATTAATCGGCGGTGCAATGAATGGATGCCATTGCCTCGGGCTACAGGCCCTGAGTTCCAAGGAGTCATCTGGGCCGGTGAGAACCTTTGGGGCACTCTGACGTTGTGGGGTTTTGAGGTTGGCATCAAGGCCACACAACCCGACCCTCTTGGCCCCGAACCTTGAAACCTTGGGGCCCTCTCCACATAGCTACGGCAGACAGCAACTCTTCAACTCCTGTCATCTCCCTCTTCGACTCGGAACTGAAGGCAAGCTCTGGAGAAAGAGCACGAGAAACCCTCCTCTCCCGAGCGATGCCTGGCTTCCTCCTGCCGATAGAACCGCTCATCCTTGGTCTGTTCACCTGCAGACACCACTTCGCCATGTCGCGGGGCAGGCTCCCGAAGAGCTGAACACGGACCCGACATGAGTCTCCCCCCGAAACCCGATCCAAGGTACGTCAAGAACCATTCTGTCCCCAACATTGCGTCAGGCCTCGAAGCATCAGCGACTTCTGGTATTGGAAAAATTGCTGCGCCTCCAGTCAAAGTGTTGATTTAGCTTCGGCTTGCGCAAAGCGCGGTGATACTGCTGCCTTAGGGAGACCACGAAGACCACCGCGACACCAGGAGACCACCAGAGACCACCAGGACACTCCAGAGAAGCGACCAGGACACCATCCAGAGAATATCAGGGGATCATCAGAAGACCGACCACCCACGACGAGCACTGCGACACTGACGACCACAAAGAGACCACCAGGAGACACCAAGAGACCACCAGAACCTCAGGAGACCACCAACCACCAAGAGACCACCAGGAGACCACCAGGAGACCACCAAGAGACATGGTTTAAGCACTTCGATCCAGATTCTCAACTTTGCTTACCATGTTTCGCTCGACTAGTTTGCACTCTTCTTTCTCAAACTCTCCTTTCTGTGCTAGGTCTATTTAAGGAAGTATGGTCCCTACCCCCCCCTCCCCGTAC